AAACCCCAAAACCCTAAACCCCAAACCCCAAACTCTAAAAACCCCAAAACCCTAATCCCCAAAACCCAAACTCTAAAACCCCAAAACCCTAAACCCCAAACCCCAAACTCTAAAACCCCAAAACCCTAAACCCCAAACCCCAAACTCTAGAGCCCCAAAACCCTAAACCCCAAACCCCAAACTCTAAAACCCCAAAACCCTAAACCCCAAACCCCAAACTCTCAAACCCCAAAACCCTACACCCAAAACCCCAAACTCTCAAACCCCAAAACCCTACACCCCAAACCCTAAACTCTAAAACCCCAAAACCCTAAACCCCAGACCCCAAACTCTAAAACCCCAATAACCCTAAACCCCAAACTCTCAAACCCCAAAACTCTAAACCCCAAACCCTAAACCCTATGCCTTCGAGGTTCCCTCTCAAACCAACCTGCTCTACAGACTCTATGGAGGTCCAGATGAGTAGTGCTTTTTTGTGGTTGCATCTAGTAAGATTATATTCCTTATATAAAATACTATACCCCAAAAGGAGGATATAATCTTACTCTATAGTAGGTACCATAATATCCCCAAATAAAACACTACTCAGATGCGATCCTGTTGAGAGTGCACATACGTTTTTTGCGGCCCGAATATGTGGTACTTCTATTTTGGGGTGGTTTTAGCGGACCCCATCTCAAGTTCAAGTGAAGTGCTTCAAAGCCTGCTGAAAACAACCTGAAACTTACGAAACAAACAACTTCACTGGCCCTGGGTAGATACATTAGCGAAACACGAGTGTCATCCATTCTACAACTTATGGGAGAGTACGCGATGTTGCCTATAACTCGGGATTTTCCCTACCTACAACCCCAGTACACCTCTATATCATCCCACTTTCCATTGCAGCACATCTCCACTATTTTGATGAAACCCCAGACCGTATAACTTGAGTTTTCCCTACCCACAACCCACCCTAAACCCCCAACCCTAAACCCCAAAGCCCAAACCCTGAACCCCAAACCCTAAGCCCTAAACCCCAAACCCTAAACCCCAATGGACTGACGTCTTCATGTTCGCTTGGGGACACAGAGGGATAACGGTTTAGGGTTTAGGATTTAAGGGTTTTAGGGATTAGGGTTTTAGGGATTAAGGTTTAGGGATCAGGGTTTTTAGGGTTTGCGGATAAGGGTTCAGGAATTAGGGTTTAGACCTTTGGGGAATTTAGTAAGGACTGGAAAACGATATGGGAAATACTGTATGATTCCGAGTGTGGGGCTTTGGGTTTTGGGTCGGGAACACTTAGTACGCGACGCTGGGGGGGACTAGGCTTAGCATGTGGATTACAGGGGTTATCAACCTTCTTACCAAGACCCCTGATCCTCCAAGTAATCCCGAGAACGCCCCAAGACCTAAAGTGCCATCCTCGATGAGGGCGCACCATTCAGCACACATCCTGAGTATGTCGCGAAAATTAATCATCAAGGTATGTCCACGTATATCCTTTTCTGAAAGAGATGTGCCTGTTTTCATGCATCCGTACTCAGAGTGCTAATATTGAGGTACAGTGGGATGCTCACTGTTGATAAACTCCAGCGGTCGCGCACAAAGGCCTTTTTTTGGGAGTCCTGCAAGGATTTCATTCCAAGGGTCTCCACCAACGTGCACTAGACTAGACACCCTAAATTGGTGCAGTTGGGTGACACTTTTGGGTAGGCTCATCCCCAGATCCACTGTAATGTATACTGCATACAACCCCATACTCGCATACAACCCCATACTCGCGGCCTAGCAGCTTCCATCTAGGGTTATGCAGAAGTCCGGTTTGGTTCTACACTGAACCCTGACCCCTAAACTCTGAACCATATGCCCTAAACCTTAAACCCAGAACCCTTTTCAAGGGCTCCTATGTAGTTACTTTTGCGGGTTGCTGTGGTTTTTCACGGATTACCCTAGACTATCCACGAAAGAACTACATCGGAGGATCCGGGTAACCCTAAGCCCTTCTATGTTTAGGATATTTTTAGGGTTTGGGGTTTAGGCTTGGGACCAGCGGTCTGTGTTCTGGCAACAACTGTAGCCCTGCCAGACCTATAATAGAATTATGTACCTTAATTCATTCCTTAGGTGTATGCAACAACAAGAATATGCCTAGACCCTGAACCCCAAACCCTACATCCCAAATCCCAAACCCAGAGCTGGCGGCTCAATGTTTGCAATCATGGTGAAGCCGTCAAAGAACTCGAAATCAGGGTCTGCCTGAGCCTGAAAGCTTGGTCCAAATACCCAACTGTTGGGGACAAACTTGGGATTGGGTTTAGCGTTTAGTGCTTGGGGGTTTGGGTTTGGGATTCCACGTGTACATGCTTATAGTACATATAAGCCCTAAACCTCTAAAGCCCTAACCGCCCTTGTAAGCAGATGCTTATGTGGTACACGGATTAACCTCCTGGCATGCAACTATAGGCAGCATCCAGCTTGAGTTGAGACAGGGGTTCAGGGCTTCGGGTTTCGGACACTGGGGGCATGAACAGGTTGCAAGGGCATCAGGGGCTGTATATGAGGACCCTGCAGGGGTCATAGGGTAATGGTAAACTCCTCTTGGGGGGGGTGGAGGGAAGCAAAGTTTCACTTTTCTGGGCCTTGAACTACAAATCCTTATACATGTATGCGCTTGCAATCATATGATCGTTCTTTTGCGGGCTGGGGTAACCAAACTCCCCTTCTACATGTTTATGGGAGTCACCTAAAACAGAGATACCCCTGAAACACCACGATATACTACAGACTCCATTAGAAGAATCGCCCCCTGAAGGGTCCCTAGCTTTTTTGGAAAGCCCCTGATGTTGTTACAAGATGTAATCCCCCTTAAGTAGATAGAATATGACTTTGGGTATGTTGTAGTAAGATCCCCATATGCCCCATATTCTATCCCTAAACCCTAAACCCTAAATAGTAGTTTCCATTTTCTTTTCCATTATCCCTAAATAGCCCCAACATAATCCTCCTCATATTCTATCTACTTATAAGGCGGGACTAGAGCTCAAGCCAATGTATCTTGATGATGGCTGAGCTTTGTTGGTTTAGGCTTTAAGGGTTGGTATAGGATTTAGGCTCTAGGGTTTAGGGTTTAGGCCCTAGGGTTTATAGGGTTTAGGGGGTAGGGCCGGGGGGGTTGAGGGGGTTTAGGGAGAGGGCAAGTCCTTTTTTTGGCAATGCAGGGCCTAATGCCATGCAGACATCGAATCCCCCAACCCTAAGGAACCTTCAGGCACCCAGATTTGTGGCAATCATGCCTAGTTACACTTTGAACCTACACGCCTTGAATCCTAAACCCTGTAGATTCATGAACTCTAAACCTATATGAGCTATAGTCTAGACTCCTAGTATCCCCCTTAATAACCCCTATAGTAATCCCCTATATAACCCCCCTTTAAGGAGTTTAGAGCTTAGATTATGGCTCACATAGGCACAGAAACCAGCCCAGAAGCGCTGTCCTCGGAGGTATTCGCACCTCAGAATGTCTGGGACCAAAAGCATCAAGTGGAGGGTTGGGGGAGGGGGAACAGACATTTCAGCGGAACGAGCGTTCGTCCAACCAAATCTTGCATAATTACTGCAGCACAGCTGGGTCCTATAGTATTATCCCTCGAGGAAACCATAACACACACACACAAACACCCAACACAGGAACAAACAAGGCTCCTAAACCCTGAGCCCGAAACCCTAAACCCTACCTAAACCCCGAAAGTATGTAAAATAATTACACAAATCCATTAAACAACAGCCAAAGAGGCCATTATTTTATATACTTTAGGGGCTCAGGTAGACCCTCAACCATGAACTCGCAATCCTTGAGCTGAAGCACGCTGCAGCAACGCCGTGGCAGCATCTGCCTGACCAGATACGCAAGGCCCAGTCCCTGAACCCCAGAAGTAGGTAGAAGAATGACGTTTAAGGCTGAATTTAGGTGTTTTGGGCCATTATTCTACCTACTTTTGGGGTTCAGGTATACCTTAAACCCTATGGAAACCCCAGACCCTGAACCCTGGACCCTATGGGAACCCTAAGACTTAAACTTAAAGCCATACAACCGCTAAACCCTAAACCCTATAGAAACCCCAAACCTTTGAGGCGGTGGATGTTTCTGGCTTCGGGGTTCATCTTCCCCTTCCCCCCGTTCCACTAAACCCACTTGCCTACATGGGGGCTTCAGTATTTAGTGTGTTGGTTTTACTTTTAGGGTTTAGGGGGGCCCTAATACAGACCCAAAAATATTATCATCCTTCTTATGGGGATCCCCATAGAGATACCCCTAATTTTGATATTTCCTGTATACAGTCAAGTAATTGCCCCCTAATCCGTAGGTATAAGCCATAAATGTCTCTAGGTAATTGGGGTTAAAGGTAGCCCCGCCCGCTGGAAGTAAGGGCAAGGTCCTAAACCCGAACCCCTAGGGCTGGGAACGGCCTTGCTTCTGACCATGAAATATGCACCTGAAACGCAGGAGGTCGCTTAGAAACTCTATTGATCAGATACTGGGGCAATCTAAATTAAATGGCAGGGGGCTAAAGTTTCCAAAGCCCGATTCCATGCCAAGTTAGGACTGTTGCATATGCACGCCACCATTGGGGGTTTCCCAAAATTGGTCTACCTTTTTGAGGGTCCTAATATATGGATTATAGAGTTTCCGCGTCTACATTGGGGTTCCCCTGTTTAGGGAAACTACCATTTAGGGTGAGGTCTGGTAAAGTCGCAATCATTCACAAAAAGACGGTATCCGCTCCGGCTTAGGGTTTACAATAGTAGCCCCCCTAAAGGTACCCACCCCAGATTTAGAACCCTATTAGGCCTTATTAAGCCCCGTATAGTCCTTATTAGCTCTTCAAACCCTGGGGGGGTACCTTTGGTGGGGGGGTACTATTGTAATCCCTTATGGTTTAAGGTTAAGGTTCTAGGGTTTTACCAGGTCCATAGAGTGCAGATGGCTCTGGGGAAAAGAACAAAAATCATGGACCAACTCTGAGAACACTCTGCTCCGCGCCTTCGATTTGGCCATGAAAGTCGTTGGCTTGAACCTCAGCCAGTTTTGAGATTATCTCTTATTCTTCTTCAGGATTGGGCCCCAACCTCATGGGCCTTGAAACCCTCTCAACCTTCGAAGGTACCTGCCAGGGCCAGCTGCATCACGTCCTGCGGTAAACTAATATGGAACCCCATGGATCTGTTCTACTACAACAGTTGCTGTCTTTACTCGGCCCCTCTGGGGTGTCATGTTTGCCGAGTATGGACACTGCAAAACTGTCCTGCACATGCTACCGGAGCATCTGCAGTATGGAGTCTGAAAAATCTAACTTGCAAAGTTTTAAGGCCCTACCTGTAATCCTGCCTTGCGAGCTCTACCTCCTGAACAAACTAGAGCTTTACAACTAGAGCAGCTAGAGGAGCACAAGGGCTCTTGTCAAAGTGATTATTGTTTAGGGTTTAGGGTTTGAGGGTTTAGGGTTTGAGGGTTCAGGGTTTAGGGTTTTAGGGTTTAGGATTTAGGGTTTAGGAGAAGCCTT